CGACAACTCTGCAAAATACCGCGATTATAGCAAATGGACCCCAAAATAGCGACCCTAAGCCGCAAACCCCTCCAAATATTTCGGGACGACATCTGTTGCACGATTTTTAAAACATCCCATATTTTGCGCGTTGAGGCACTTGCGCGCGACATGCAAACAACCAAGGTCACAAGCGTGTGCGCAGAGCTTATTTGTCCTTCAGCCTACGGTGCCTAACATGCTCTCGCAGTGTGCAGCCTATCGTGCGAGTACGGTCCCTGCTTTAAACCAATGACATTTTTTCAAGAAACCAATTTTTTTCTACCAATAACAATTTCAGTGGCAGAAGCAAACGGAAGCGACTCGATTTAGCTGCGTTCAAGGCCTCCGCCAAATAATAGTTTTTGTATTTACAAGGACAACAATACATTTGTAGAAATTTGCGTAGTAATTAAGAACTCATTTTAACGGAACCTCGGTTCGCATATGATCATAAATATTCTCTTCTAAAAGACAGCATCCTAGCCTGACTGAAATATCGTGTGATTATACTGTGTCACGAGTAGTCTTACATCCTCGTTTTTGTGATACTTTTGAATCGAAAACATATCCCTCAATTTTTGCTTAAATGTAATGAGATAGCTAATCTATGGTTTGGAGTAAGTTTTTCGTCGATAACATTACCAAGGGGTTGCAACTCTGAGACTGTGAAGTTTCTTTGTTGTCGCGTCTCCTGGATAAATTAAATCAGATCGTGCACGTCAGGCATGCTGAACAGTAGTGAGGTTTCACTCGTGGCTGAAGAAATTTCGGATTGGTCAGTCAGTCACGACATCGATACCTGTAGATAAGTGATAACTTTTTTGCGTGCAAGTGCTGTCGGATCAGAACATTCTCTGCTCAATTGGGTGTATGTGCGACAAGAGGGTAGAAATCACTCACAATAACAAACAAAACGTAAATCAATGCCAACACCTCAGGCAGACTACGCGAAGATTGCAATGGGAGGGCTAAACGACTTATGGAAAGGGTCGGGTTTTCTCACTCCACTAGCTCGCATGATTCGCTTTCCACATTAAAAAGCTAGAAGAATGCTAGCTTCCAATATTGTCAGTACGTTTGGGCCCTGAGTGTTTTTGTAAGGGGCGAGGCCTAATGCTGGACTGAGCATCAGCCTGCAGTGGCCGGTATGGCACTTCCGCACATGTCAGATCCGAAAAACCCTAATCCACGTCTTTAATAACAGCTTCTACTTCTGGTTTTTCAACGAGGGAAGAAGCTTTTTTAGCTGCCGAGTGGCACTTTTTGAAGTATTTCGACCAGAATAAATGCTGCCTATCAGTCAAATGCTAGCTCTTTTTAAAATAGCTGAGATTACTTGGCACAAACAAATACGCGTTTTTCAAGCTAAACGCTTTCGTGTTATATGGTACGGTGAGTTATGGTGAATAAGTCTAATGCTGCTCACCTATACTGAGCAGTAGTTGGTGAACCGGCTCGGG